GTGTGCGTGTGTGTGTGTGTACGTCTGTCCGAGTATTTCAACTCAGCAGCCAAGCAAGCTTCGGCACCAGAAATTTGCCTGTGGACTCCCCGGCCAAGTGCCTCCCCAGGGCCGTGGTACCAATCTTCACCCACGTCTAGGTCCCCGTACAGGCGTGTGGAAGTTTTGACGGAAAAATCGCTAACTTGAAAACCAGAAAAGCTGGAAAACTGAAATTTTGCAGCTATGCCCTCCGTTCAGACAGAACTGAAGGTTTCGAATTCAGCCCACAGGCATGCGTGGTTCTCATGTACAAACCCGTGGAAGTATTATACGGGAAAATCGCTAACTCGGGAACCAAGGAAGTTAGAAGGGTGAAATTTTGAGGGGATGTTTCTAGCCCTTGTACAACTCAAATATTTCAAATTCAGTCTCCAAGTGTGCGTCCTTCTCACGTACGGTCCCGCGAGAACTTTTGGCAAGAAAAATGCTAACTCAGAACCAGAAAAGACAGAAAGCTGAAAGTATCATGTAGTTGCAAAATTAATCCCTGAACTTCGAGGACCGGTGTATGCCATAAATTCTTGCTTCCGGGACTCCAAGTGATCTTACAACAGCATGAAATATTGCAGAAACGCATGATCGCATGGGCACGCCCGGTCCACGTCGCCAACTAATTTTATCAAGGAGCAATATTTTAGCATTTTTCACTTTTTTTTTAATGTTTTTTAAAACAGTTTCAGTTCCCGTTCACTCACAGTGGTATACAAAGTTTAATTGTACGTTATTACTTACTGTTACCTACTCTTGTTTGAAATTTACTGTTTTTCTCGAAATAAAAAATCTAAGTTATCGCCATATTGTATGTGAAGTTGGTGATATTGTGCCGGCATATGAGCTTTCTGCGCATTTTGAATGATTTATAGTGGGTTTTAAGTTTTTAATTATGTAGTCTTATAAGCTTACACGTATTTTTCTGTTGCATTGGGATGAGGATTTTAGGGGATTCTGAGATTTTGTTGTTGTGTGATGAAAAAAACTGGGTAAATTTCCTTGATAAAGTATTTGTGTGTTTTTATTCGGAGGTCTCGTCCCCTGGCCCGGTGCTCCGGCCCTTCCTCGGGTCGTTAGCTGGGTCGTCGATTCCTTGGTAATGATACGGGCTAGGGGGCGGGGAGAAAGTGGGGGGGGGGGGGGGGGGCCACGTCCTTCGCTGATCATCGGGACCGCCAGTACAACCCAGCACACACTGCCTTAACAGAGAAACATCGGCCTTATATAGGAGGCAGCTTCGTACCATCACACACGCTCTGTCTAGGAGGGAGTCATGATGCAACATTGTGATTGGAGTAGAACTTTTAAAGCGTAAGAAATTTCGCTAAAAAAAAGCATAATCAATCCTCTTCTGCATCGCTGGACTGCCTTTCTTCGTTTTGTGCACTTCGTGTTTTCTGCGCAGCAAAAAATACATTTATAAGTGTTGTAGAAATTTTAAAGATACAATGAATATCCCTGGCTAGGAGATTGGAAGCGGACAGGGTCCTGAAATCTTCTATGTGTTAACATATACAGTTTGTTTGTCGCTGTTGACTCATAATTTTCGAGTAGC